CCCTCCCGGGACCCCTGCCTGCGAGGCCTTCTGACCGTCTGGGACACCTGTCCGTGAGGGCTTCTGACCATGCCGGGGCTTCTGACCGTGCGGGACGCCTGTCTGCAGGGGCTTCTGACCATCTCCAGTGCACGTCTGCGGGGACTTCTGACCGTCCAGGACCCCTGTCTGTGAGGGCTTCTGACCATCTCCAGTGCATGTCCGCGGGGGCTTCTGACTGTCTGGGACCTCTGTCTGCGAGGGCTTCGGACCGTCCGGGACGCCTGTCTGCGGGGGCTTCTGAGCATCTCCAGTGCATGTCCGCGGGGGCTTCTGACTGTCCGGGACGCCTGCCTGCGGGGACTTCTGACCATCTTCGGCACATGCCTGTGCGGGCTTCTGACCACCTTTGACGCAGAGCTCTTCATCCCTCTTGATCCGGGAGAGGGCATCAGGCTCGGACGCAGCATAGCCTGCTCGCAGGGCAGAGGACTGGCTGCACCTTTATTCTGTCAAACTCTCAGGCTGACCCTTCCCTCCCTAACCCCAGAGCTAGCAGGCAGGACGGACAGACACAAATACGTTAGCCATGCTCTAACCAGGAAGGTGGTGCTGCCTTCTTGGCCCTGAGGCAGGATCCGCCCATGAGCACAGCTGCAGCCCAACTACGGAGAAGATCTAAGTAACAGAACACGAACTAAAATCTGAAAGGAGAGGGACAACCTCTGTCTGTGTAACGTCTTTCTCCTCTCTTCCCAGGAGCACTTGATAAACGAACCCCCAAACACATACTTGGGGCTTGTATCGTTTCTGGGTAACACTCCCCAAAGGACAGAGCCTGCCCTGCCCTCTGCCCCCCGCCAGTGCTCACCCGGCCTCTCCTGGGGCTTCTTTAACCCCCCACTCCTCAGTCCTGCAGCAGAGAGCTCTTGGTCACAGCTCAGCCCACACATTTCTTCTCCTGGCTCTGTCCGGGTCTGCCTGTCCCTTTCCAGCCTTTCCTACCTTCTCACCCAGCCTTTGCACTCTTAACAATTGATTTTTCCAACTCTCCCATGCCATGCCCCAAGGCTCTCCTGACCGCTTCTGCTCCCCCCAGCACTACCAGACCTGCTCCAGCCTCCTCCTCCCACTGCAGGTTCCAAGGTTCCTCACTTCCCACCACGACTCCTCTCCCACCAAGGAGGATTTTTGGAAGCCCTAGGGCTCAAGTACGCAATCGGGCGAAGGACTGGTGAACTGCACAGAAACAGGGCTGGAAGGGGTCACAAGAGGTCTGTCCCACCACTCCAGACTCCATCCCAGCCCCTCCTGATAGGCTTTGTCTCTTTTTCTCCACAGGATTCATCTGACCAAGCATAAACGTTCCTCTTGGAAGAAAGACTCAAGGTACTCCGTGGAGGTTTAGTGAGCACGGTCAGCAGACCCTCACAGCAGCTCATTTCTAACAAAGACACTGCTGAGAGATCTGACAAAGCTGGGACAGGAACTCCCACCTCCTGGCACCCACGTAACTCACCTGTGTCACCTTCCATGGGGACTTCACCTTCTCCCAAAGCCTCTTCCACCTGGTCCATCTCTTCTGGTACCTGCTGGGGCTCCTGATCTTTGGTACATGCCTGGGGGGGCTCCTCACCGCCTCGGATGTGTGCCCGTGGGGGCTCCTGACTGACTTTGATGCAGAGCTCTTCATCCCTCTCGATCCGGGAGAGGATGTCAGGCTTGGACACAGCATAGTCTGCTCGGGGGACAGAGGACAGCACGCTTTATTAGGAACTGGCTGTACCTTCCCTCTGTCAAACTCTCACACGTTTCAAAGAGACCTTTCTCTCCCTGACCCCAGAGCTAGTGGGCAGTACGGACAGAAATCCATTATTCGTGCTCTAACCAGAAATGTTCTTGGCCCTGTGGCAGGATCCACCCATGAGCACAGCAGTAGCTCAAGTACAGAGAGAATCTAAACAGCAGAACGTGAACTAAAATCTTAAAGGAGAGAGAAAGGCTTTGATATTTTCTTCCCATCTGAACTTTAGCAGTGATTTGAAGAGCAGCTCTTCTGAGATCTTGTTCTGGAGCAGGGACAGAGAACTTCCCGCTCCGTAGAGATATCTGTGTCAGATGGACCACGAGAGGAACAAGTTTGTTCTGTTTCTACAAAATATTATTGAGAAACGTGAAGCCTTGACCTCAGCAGCCGCACAGACCAGCACATTACTAGTCCTGCCCAAGAACCAGCTTTTGGTGGGGAACATCTTACAGCCCAAATCATCCAAGAACATGTCGGGTGCCCTTAGAAAGATCGCGCACGTTTAAGCCAGTTCTTTACCAAGGTACATAGAAACGTCCCTATCACTTTACGTAAGAGCTAACTAGACAGAAAACAACAACTAGTTCACGATGCAATTATCAAATTTCACCGAATTCCTGAACTGTGCTGGAAGATCATGATGATTCCCTGAGCCTGGAACCCACTTACGTAATCATTAGGAACAGCATCTCACGTGGCTATATTTTATCATCGATATTGCTTGTGTTACTATCGCTACTGTTATTTACTACAGATATCTTTTGTGTTGTTTATCGCTTTACAAGCAGGAAGGAGGGAAAACACGTGGGTCTGACTGCTCAGGAGAGGTTCTGCTAGCTACAGGTGTCCAGCCCCACGGAACCAGACCATCAGTTGGGCTGTGGTGGGAAGCAGTCCAGCCTCATCCGGAGGGGCGAGCCCTGAGCCTTACCCAGGGAGATCAGCGTCTCGTAGTTCCCCCTCATCACAGCCCTGTACAGATCCTTCTGCCAGCGGTCCAGTCTCTCCCACTCCTGCTCGTTGAAGTACACCGAAATATCATCGAATGTGACAGGTACCTGGAATCACAAGTATTATGTGCTTGGTGACTTCTGACGCGGTTAGATAACTGGAAACCATGCACGTGCAAGTGAGCGCTTGGCTTGGGTTGCCGGAGCTCAGGGCAGGCAAGAGCAAAGCACGCCTGGCCAGATCAGGGCTTGGGAGCAGCAAGTCCAGGACGTGTAGGTGCTCAGCCACCCGAGCCCACTG